GCCCATCCATCCACCCATTAATCCACACATTTACAGGTTTACACTGTACTAATGTTACACTGATTACTGCTCTAGCACTCGATGTTGACACTGAACTTGTTTTCTTCTGCTGGATCTTTTCCTAGTTTTCCTCTGTTTGGAGTGGAGTGGTGCATATTCACACTATTAAAAACAGAAATGCGTGGAGTGCTCACTGCATACAGAACAATAGGGTTCATTAAAGCTGGCATACTGTTTATCAGCAGTAATCAGTATGCCCAGTGACACTGCATTCAGTAGTTTAATAGGGAGAGGAAAAGTTAGACTTTGTCAGCTTCCTCACAAAGTCTCCTTGGCTGTACTTCAGGACAGCTCTGTACTGTCTTATCACTGCTTTTAAATTAGCTTCATCACCATCAGCTGTAAAAAATGACAGATCAGATAATTTATAGCCTTTCAGAGTTTGGACAGACTTCCCTTCTAAAGACTTGACTATCAATTACCTTTGTCAGACATCTGTGATGTCCTTCTCATGCCATCAGATATGATAGAACAAGAGAAGAAGAACAGGGCAAAAAGAGCATGAAGCTAAAGGTCATCCTCTTTTTTTGTCCAAAGTACACACAGAGGAGTGAAATGTGTATTCTAGTGTGCTCTGACGTACCAATAAAAGAACTGTCTGCCGTGTTGTCCAGCTCACCTTCTCTTTGCCAGGACTGCCACTTTTTTAGCCTGAAATGTACCACTGTGTTCATCCCTGCTGTGTGAACACAGCTGTTCTTCATCATCTGTCCTTTTATATCTAAGCCTACAGTGTTGTTGTCCCAAACCTTGAGCTTGGGAAACTGTGTCCTTGCCACCGTGCCTCAATATGTCTTTATTGTGTATTAGAAAGTATTTATTCATTCACCTCATGCTTATACCACAATGCCTTATTTAGAAGTGATGCATAAGAGGATTATGAGATCTCTGAGAAATGCTTTTGTGAAATGGATTATATCTGATTGGCAAGGATTTTGTCAAATTGTTGACACACCAAATATTTCAGTCAAATACTGATGGATGTTTGCCAGTATACACTGTGAGTTTTTTGCTTGTTAATTTGGTTGTGTTTGTTACAAAGAGCAAGATATTTTACAATTTTGGCAACAAATTTCTGCCAAATTTAATGGAAGGTTATTCCATTGTCAAAAGAACAAATGGTTTAGTTCTTTGTTCAGTCGTCCAATTGCAGAACTTAGATTCCTGCCTCTAATAAACAGCTATGTTAGCTTTCATGTCAACCAAAAATGGTGGGAGTGGGACAACTTACTGCTGAACAGATAACAAGCAACATTAACATGATTTTTCCTGTTGCTCAAACCAGTATAAAGAGCTAAGTGAAGCACTTGAGGGCTCCTGATCGCTGAAGTACTGTTGCAACTATAATATTTTCTGAGTGCAGTATGATGCCGCCTTGAAAGATATTTACAAGTAATTTCCTTCAAAGCTCCAGGCAGACCTTAATTGATCACAGCATCTGTAGAACAGTGCACCACGCTGACATCTTTGAGACGGAAAAGCATCTTTATCCAAGACACAGAGCCAAACAAACAAAAATACTCTACTCTTGGTAAAAACACAGTCAAAAGGTGATTGACCGTAATGCCTTAATGGAAGGAATGTGGTTTCCAAACCATTTCCTTGGTTGAACTTTATGGTTACAATCCATCTCTTCTTTAAAATTGTGCTGGCTCACATAGGTTTCCCTTTGGACTCACCAGACCTCAACCTCACTCAACATCATTTGGAATATTTGAAAAGAGAAAAGGTGAAACACACTGGAACATAACGGGATGTTTTAGCTCTAAAAGAGAGATTAAATTATGTGGGTTATTCAGTTCTAAATCTGGTTCAAATCTTTATGGTAGAGTTCAAACTAGGTTGCTGAGGCCCTTAAATCTACCACAAATTCCAAAGTCCACAAATTGTTGATAAAGGTATCCCACATAGACCAATATTAGGCCACTGCTCTTTACTTTATACAAAAATGATATTTATTTCCTAACTGAAATGTCCAGTTTTATGCTGATGACACAATCTTTTATGCCATAATCCTCACTGCAAACCTGGCCTTATCTGTTTTTGGTAATCTTCAGACCATTGTTATTGATTTAAATCTTTTTGTAGACTGTTAAAGAGCAAAATAAACACATTTCCCAAGAACACAGACCTTTGATGTTTTCTCACTCCCACATCTAATTGAGAGATTAGATTCGTACACTGCTGGCATAACCCTTAAAGAGTAACTAAACTACTAAATCACATCAGCTGAAAACCTTTATATAGTGAATAGACTATGATAAGATATGATTAGATAATGAATAGAAAGATAGATATGATATGATAGATTATGAATACTGATATGATATGAAAGATATAGAGAGATAAAGATAAGATAGAGAATAGTAGATATGAAAAAAATTAGATAGAATATGATAGAAGATCGATAGATAGATAGATAGATAGAATAGATAGATAGAATAGATAATAGATAAGATAGATAGATAAAGAAGAATAGATAGATAGATAGATAGAATTAGATATTGTAAACTGACTAACTGGCTAAAAAAATTCCTGCTACACTGAGTGGTAGTCAGTTTGTCACTCTGGTTGATATCCAACAAGGCCACAACCCCTACATGAGCCGCGCATGTTTTAAATTTGCTTGCAGAAAGGTAGCAATCCATCTATCTTATAACTCCACCATAACAGTAGCAGCTAGTATGGTGGAGATATATGATAGAGCAGCTGTGCTTCTGAAAACAGGTTGTATGCTTTTTCTGCATACTGCAGCATCGGTATGTTTGAATCTGGCAACATTTAATTCAATTAAATCATTAGGATTAGAGTCTGACCTCTCATTTTAATGAGGGCTAACAAGGCTTTTGAATGAGCTACACTAATTAGGGGCATATTATTCATGTGCCACAATAAGGGCTTCATTGTGCTTAGATAAAAGAAACTAATAGCTGCACTAATGGAAAGCAACCATTTAAGTTTTTTTTGGCAAATTTGAGGAGCTTGTGTAGGAAGAAATAAGCATTTTCACGAAAAGTAACCCTCTTGTATGCTGCATTTTCAGACTGCCTCGTTTCCCACTTTTTCTGGTGTGTCTATACTTCTTTTGTTTTTCGAGTGTTGTAAGCAGACCTTTCTGGCAGGATAATCAAAGACTGAGAGGAGTGGGAAAGTGGCTGCAGCACTTTCAGTCAGGTACAGAAAACCCATAGTATGACCAGTCTTTCTATTTGGCCAAACAGAGCATTAACACTATGTTGAAACTGAATTTTTTAAATTGATGCAGATTTTTTCCACATCTCTTTCCTTAGTGTGGTGACAAAAAGACTCATCTCCAGTCGGCCTTATGTTATCACTTAAAATGTGTGTGATGTTCTTGTTTAATGATGCACAAAATCAATTGTGGTGATTAATATTCTCCATCTCTCCCTCTCCCCCTCTATTTCAATCCCTCCATGTCTATCTCTTGACATTGAAGGCAAATACTGTATGACCATACACCAAGAGTGTCTTCCTTCTGTTCATGATCTGTGAAATCATAATGTAGCCCAATGGTTTTTCTATCTATTTATGTCTGTTTTGGGGTGTTCTCTGTCAGAAGTTGCCATGTTTAATGCTTTAAGCTTTAAGAAAAACGTAGAGCCAGAGGATGAGTACACAGATCTATACTAAGAGAGTGCAGAGTGCAAAGAGCCTGGAGTTGCTGTCAATCAGAGCAGAATTTATCAGCACATCAAAGGCGGATAGAGACGGGTAGGCTTTCATTTTAACCACATGCTGTCGTTCTACATTACAGCTGATAGAGTGTGCTTAGGTAGGTGGGCAAACAAGGTAAGGTTAGATGAGAGTGGCTACAGAATGAGGAAGAGACAGGATTTATGGATTTGTCCTCAATTCCTCTGTAGGCCAACTAAAGGACAGTCAAGGATGAGACCTTTGTTAATACAAAACATGTTCTTAGCATGTGTTCCATGTCTCCATCAAACAACTTTTTTCTGAACAGAAGGGAATTATTCATGTGTAAATTGTGGCTTGTGCTTTGCTCTCCCTTTCTTTTCATGCACTGTGTTACTCTGTGAGTAATTGTTGAGTAATAGACCTTTATTCACAGCAGCCATTTGGACATGAATCTCAGGTGTCACTAATGATATTATTTAAAACCTATTGAAATGTATGATATATTTATTTTTACCCAAACATGGCTACACAGATTTTTTAGGGCCACAATATATTTCTGATCTTCTACTACATTATGAACCATCCAGACTTCTCAGGTTGTCTGGGACTCTGTTTTATGTCCCCAAAGTCACAACTAAACTTGGAGAGACAGCTTTCAAATGCAACCCATATCTGGAAAAAATAAACCTCAGAAAACTGCTGCAACTTTCATTTCTTTTACATCAAGGTTGAGAACTTTTCTGTTTGCCGCTGCCTTTTATTAAACCAAATTTGAGGCTTTTGATTAATATCTTACACTGCACTGTAACTTGTACCTTTTGTTTTATCTTATCTTTTTATCTTATACACATATATACAGTGGTGTGAAAAA